CGGTTTCGGGCAGCAGCGCATCTCCTCCCACCCGTGTTTTGGCACGTCGCGTTGGACCTCGGTGCTGGGGTTAGATCAGAACGGGTGCCAAGGTGTCTGTGGCCGTCAGGGGTCCCCGTGGGCAGCTTGTATATACCTGTGTGAAGTACTTTGAAGCACCAATTACCGTTGGAAGCTTTTTTTTTTTTTTTTTTTTTAAATTATGCTTTTACTATCAATGTAATGTATAATACCGTATTAAAAAAATAAGCAAATGTAATTATTCTAAATCAAAGGGCAACTGTGATCTTTTTTAGGTGTTTGGAAAGAGACTGGAGAGAAAAATATGTGCGTTTCTTTGTAACTAGCTGTATTCAGGGTTCTTTGAATCACTAGAGATAGAGGCTTTAGGAAGGGAGGAAATGTTACCTCTTCTGAGGGCATTTCTCACAGCATTTAGAGGTTGTATTCTGGTAAGTCTTAACAAAACCACTTTTCTACGTGTTGAACTGGGTATCTATTATATCTATGCTTACTATATCTGGGATTTTCTTAGTAAATGTTGGTATAATTTCTTGCAGCTTGTCTGAATTTTCTGAAGCTCTGCAAAGTCAAGTACTACAACTATTGTCTTATTTATAATGTACAGGTGAGTATTCTCAATTCCTTATTTTTTTGTTGGTTTAAATTCGCAAACATGAAAGAAGTGTCTTACATATTCTTCTTTGTGACAGAGGGATTTTATTATACAAACGGGTGACCCCATGGGAACTGGCCGTGGAGGGGAATCCATATTTTGGTAAGTAAAACTTCTGTGTTACTTCATTGACAGAGAGGTTTACAGGGGAGTATGGGTTCCAATTAGATTGTCTTCAGCTCTCTTGGGGCAGAATTATTGATGGGAAGTAAAAATGTTGATGTGTAAGCTTCTGTGGTTGTCATACCTAAATACCTTTTTAATTCCTACACTGCCTGTGGCCGTTCAGATTTTTTTTCCGGACAGTATTCTATCTCTGACCTTAGAAGCAAAGTTGCAACTAGCAAGTTGTACACAAATTTGTGTTTATTTAAAACTTAGCAAACAACTATAGGTTTGATTTTGTAACAGCAGTAGCATAACTAAGTGCTCTGTAGAAGGCAAAATCAGTAGTTTGTTACTGCTTTTATTTTTGTAACAAAATGTACTTAACTGAGCAGGAAGGGAATATAGAGGCTATACTTGATTTCCTCTATGTATAAGAAAGTAATACTGTTGCTCTAAAAATTCACTCGAGTTCATTTTAGTCATGTTGAATGAATACAAGGAAATAACTTTTCTTCCTTGTTTGAGGTGTTTTCAGTGGTCATCCACATAAAAGTTGAAGAAATGATTCACACAGCTGGGATGGACATTAGCAAAGTACATACGTTCTATATGGTTCCTTTGAAATTGTTATTAAAAGTAGAATTAAAATTGCAGAGCAGAACTAAACCTGGAGTGCTGGGGAACACAGTATACAGAGATAAATAACTCAGTTTGAACAGAGGCAGCGTTGCTAGACTAATGTTGACTGTTTTAAGTCTGGTATGTCAGAGCCTCTTAAATATAGAACCTTGAACACGTGGATCCGTGGATCACCACTCAGGTGATACTGGAAGCAGTATAATTGTGCTAAGCAGGTGCAAGTCTAGGTAGGTAAACTTGCCAGGCCTGAGGTGTCTCTGCACGTGGGTAGATCAAGTTTGTTTTGATATTCTGCCCTTTCGAAAGGATTGGTCTTCTGAGGCTCATTGGTGTGGCAGACAGGGAAGTATAGTGCAATGAGAGAGCAGCAGATTCTGTTCTGCTGCTGGCATGGAGAGTGGCAGTTTGTCTTTTCTACCTGTTCTTTAACTGCTGAACTCTGCAAAATTGGAGTTTCTGTTCTTGCTACCCAGGAAACTGATGCAAGCAAAGTTTAATTTGAATCCTTTCTTCATAGAGGCTTACACCTGCTTAGCAAAATGAGTTTAAACACAGCACTGTCCTCAAATTTGGGCAAATGTGTGTATTGACCATGCCTCTGTCAGTTATGAGTGAGACAAAATGGGTGATATCAGGGTTAGACTTAAAAAAATTAAGACTGTAACAATTTGCCATACCCCCTGTATCTCAAATTACTGTATGGAGTCCCATCTGTATGCTGAACTAAGTTTACACATTGATTTAGTGGCTTTCCATTTATCTTGGAAGAGAAATTTTTGATATAAATAATTTCATTGTTACCATGTGGATTAACTTCTTTTTACAGAACCTGCTTATCAAAACTTGTATTCGCTCCATGCCATCGAAAAATACTATATACTGCATTTAAAAACATACAAATACACCTCCCCCTGTCCCCCAACTGCTGCGAGGCCTCTGTGAAATGCCTCAGAGAAAAATCTGTTGTTCCCTGTAATATGAAGTGAATTATGTAAGTGTATGTGTCCATAAAAACGTGCATGGAAGCAATGTGAATTGTGATGTAATTTGAATGCCAATGTAAACATTTTTAGGGTATTATATTTACTGTTTTACAGCATTTGTTTATCTTGCTTTTAAAAATTCCTTTGTCTTGTAACATATTTGTTGTATGTATTTTCAGTCAGCTGTATGGCGATCAAGCTAGATTTTTTGAGGCAGAAAAAATGCCGAGAATTAAGCATAAGAAGAAAGGAACCGTATCAATGGTGAACAATGGCAGTGATCAGCATGGATCACAGGTCAGTGTAGTGTTGGGAAGCCGCGATACGCGACTAAATAACTAAAATGAAAATTCCTTGAATTTACAAAAGAGACATAACAATGACAGTGTCATCTCAATAGCATCATCTTGTAATATGGTCAAAAGGCATGTAAAAAACCAACCGTAGGTAAGTATTTTGCGTAGTGTTCCAGGTGGCAGTGGGTATTTGCAAACAAGAAAGAGATTAAAGTGCTCAGATTCAAATCCTGTCCTAGTTAATTTTATAGATTTTATTTGTTAGCATTCAGTCCTCTTTATTTTTTTTTTCCTTGGTTTATTCATTTCTGTTAATACCTTGATGTGATTTTGCTAATGTGTAGAATGGACAGGAAAAAATCCTGTAGTTAAATGGAAGTGAAAAGTAAGGAAACTGGATTTTGAAATAATCTTAAAACTTTCTGGTTATAACTTCATTTTAGTTTGGAAACTGAAATCATACCACTGTTTCCTCTGTATGGTTACATAAAAGCATGCATGAATAATACAATATAAGTTTACAGTTTGTCTCAGTGCTGTCATAAAACAATTTCTGAAAGTGGTGGTGTTCCCTCTGCTGTTCCCTGTTCATGTGCATAGTTTTTGCTGTAGGTATATGAAAAGCTCTAATATCATAGAATGATACTATTTCTAAATTATTTTTTTAGGTGCATTGTCGCTTTTATATATTAAAATGCCTCACTTGTAATATCCATATGTTTTAATTTTAAAAAAGAGGGGTTTTTAATAACTGAAGGGCAATTAAAAAAAACCCTATGGCTTTATTTCAGCTATAACTTGTCATATATGGAGTTAATTTTTCTGCCTCCCTGCATTGTATGTGTAAAATAGTTTGGGTGGCGAGGTTAGGAAAAAGAGATTACATTTGTATTTATGTTTAGGAATGCAACCTGTTAGCGTGTACACAGGCATATGGGAATTAATGCAGTTCCCAGGAACGTTATTGCAGCTTCCTCCTTGGGAAAGAAGAATTCCAGTGAGGAATTGTGTGGTTGGCTTACAAATATAACATAGCTTAGTGTGACCTGTACCAAATACTATCCAGTCTTAACTGTGTTGCAGAGAATAGGGAGTGAGATGTTACCAGTCAGATTATAAAGCATGGATGTAGGGCTTGTGTTCTATTACTTGTGCATATCTGCTGCTGCTTCTTTCGTTCATTGCCAAGCGTCCTCAGTCTTTAATTTGTTACCAAGTGTTCAGTTGGTATTAATTTTCATAGTTTCAGTTTTGCCCTAAAGGGAAACACCTGATTTGTGTTAGGATACATTTCAGTGCCAATTCAAGCTGATGAAAGTCAGTGCTCCTGTGTTCTAGTTCTTGTCTCAATGCTACTGCATCCTGTTTCTTGGGAGGGAAGGGTCTGTGATACAAGGGAAGGAAGGAAAAAAGTCTGGATAGAATTAGGTGAAGGTAGAACTATGGAAGTTTTTGCCAAAATTGTGAAAATGCACCTGCGGAATGTAGTTAGATGAACGAGTGATTTAAGCTCAGCTCATTGCTGCCCAGGGGGGTAGTAGCCTTGCTCTTTCTGATCTCTCCCTTCTATCAGCTGTGATGCCTGTCAAAACCTTTGCTGATCTTGCTCAGCAGACCTACCTGGCAGATAACTATCTGCTCTTCCTCTGCTGGTCTGGTTTTCTGCCAGTTTACTTCGTCAAACCGATTCGCAGAAGGGTCCAATGAGCCAGAGCTGCAAGCTCAAGTGGAGAGAGACTCGTGTGAGAGAGCCTCCTTTCCTCAGGCAGTGTCCATGAGCTGTGGGTTGGGTCACCATGTTCTCAGAGCTGATGGAAGACAACTAATCTTCTGCCGCTGAAGTTGGGAAGAGGGTTTGTTTTTTTTTTCCCCACTGATTTCAGTGAGAATTGTACCTATTCTAAGGTAAAACTCAAGTCCCGAATTTTTCTATTTACTGTTGTTGCTTTTGTGTCTTCTTTTGTAGTTTCTTATTACTACAGGGGAAAACCTGGATTACCTTGATGGTGTGCATACAGTATTTGGGGAAGTGACAGAAGGAATGGATGTACTGAAGACCATTAATGAAACCTTTGTAGATAAGGATTTTATCCCATATCAAGATATCAGGTGTGACTGCTTTTGACTTCCCTTTGAGGAATACATTATAGTTAAACAAATACATCTTTTTTGGAAACTGGATTAACATAGCAATGTCAGGTGATCTTGTATGTGGTGTCTTAAATACTCTTTTAATCCAGTATTATTGGTAAACCAAGCAGGTACTAAAATAAACAACTTTGTAAGAAAATGTGCTACTATGTTGCTTTTACAAAAGCATCAGTACTAGTATTTACAAACGTACAGTATGTCGCTGTTTGGAATATAACTGAGAATCAGTGGGGTTGGTTTACTGTTAACTTGCATAAAGAGTTTTATTTGCATGTGACTGATGCTGGTCTTGTTTTTTGTTTTCTATAAGGATAAATCATACAGTGATTTTAGATGATCCGTTTGAAGATCCACCTGGCTTGTCTATTCCTGATCGCTCACCAGAACCTACTAAGGAACAGCTAGATGTGAGTGTTTGTGATAGCTTTTTGGGGAAACATTGGAAGAAGTACTTAAATAAATTTGTCAATGTCAGTGGCCAGCACAGGCTTGATCAAAATAAGAATTTTGCCTTTAAGATTTTGGCTGTCAAATTTATATTCTAAAAGAACTACACATTTTTAGTGTAGGAGCATAAGAGATGCTCTTCTACTGTGCCAGTTTGAGTTCTGATATGTCAAATGCTTGCCTGTTATTTGGGGCTGTTGTTGCGTTTAATCAAATATAGCTGCTTAATCTTTCAAGAACAGGATAAAAGAGTGACTTGGGTGCTGTCCTCTGTGACTATGGCAGAGTTAGGCTGGAAGGCTGTGGTTTAGGTTTCTAATTACGGTGTAGATATGCAGAACATTCAGATACACAGAACATTCAGAATATTCACCTTTGGTATTACTGGTTTTTGTCTACTCTGCTAGAAGACAAAATATAATTAACATTTGTTAATGTTAAAGTGCCTGTTGCTGTTTTCCTTTTAAATGTGAACTACCCTGTGTTTCAGTGGAAGTAGTCTTAGTCATTCTTTGAGTTATGTCTGCAAGCATGCATACTGCTGTGGTGTATTTGTTCAAACAGAAGGAATTTGCTAAAAATATATTTGTAATTATTCATAATTTACTCATAGCGTGCAGTTATGAAAGTTGCTATGTGAGATTATCTCCTTGAATAGCAACGGTTGTTTCAAGCTATGAATAAATTGACTAGAGAGAATATTGTTTGGTTTTAGAATCATAGAATGCTTTGGGCTGGAAGGGACCTCTAAAGGTCATCAAGTCCAATCCCCCTGCAATAAGGAGGGACATCTCTAACTAGGTCAGGTTGCTCAGAGCCCCGTCAAGCCTGACCTTGAATGTCTCCAGGGATGGGGCTTCCACTACCTCTCTGGGCAACCTGTTCCAGTGATCCACCACCCTCATATTAAAGAACTTTTTCCTAATGTCCAACCTGAATCTACCCTTTTCTAGCTTAAAACCATTACCCCTCGTGCTGTCACTACAAACCCTTGTGAACAGCTCTTCCCCTGCCTTCCTATAGGCCCCTTTCAGGTACTGGAAGGCAGCTATAAAGTCCCCCCGGAGCCATCTCTTCTCCAGGCTGAACAACCCCACCTCTCTCAGCCTCTCTTCATAGGGAAGGTGCTCCAGCCCCCTGATCATTTTTGTGGCCCTCCTCTGGACATGCTCCAACAGGTCCACATCCTACTTGTCTTGGGTATCTTTTAAGCTTAATAGATATAATTACAAGATTGGAATTAGGCTTTCATAGTATGTCTGCACTGTATCTCTGATACCTTCAGATATGTTAAATGGTGTAAGGAGTTTATCAGCTCATTGCCAACTGCGTAGAGATTTGAAATCTTACACTTAGTTTTCTTCCCCTGTAGCCTGTCTGAAGATACACCTTTGGTGTAGAAATGCCTGTGAGAAGGGCAGCATTCTAGAGGTGCTGATGAGGAGAAAAAATGAAACCTCAAATTCTGCCTAGATGTAGATGTGTAAAAGGAAAGTTCTTGTTGTGATACACTGTGTTTAATGTTTGAGTCTTTCTAGACACCACAGATATCTGCAGTATTAGATATCTTCATTCCTGGTAGGAGCTATCTAGATTAGAAATGTGTTGACACTTATGGTGAGATGTTGAGTATGAGATGGGAGTATAAAAGAATTTAGAGTATCTTAACTGAGTGTGGCTGAAATTGGGCCTGAAAGTTCATACAAAGTTCATAGTGCCTGAAACATGAGGGTAACATCATCTCTTTTTTTAATCTGAGTGGGAAGAATGGAATGAAAGCCCAGTTCTGCAGAGAACAGTGCTTCAGCATTTTTCATGTCTTGGGGAGTGAGGGGGGAAGTCATCGAAGTATGTGAGAGAGAATTTTTGGCCATGGCTTGGTAATAACAGCTTTTTCCTTAATTTTTCAGAGTGGCAGAATAGGAGCAGATGAAGAAATTGATGACATGAAAGGACGGTCTGCAGATGAAATAGAAGAAGTTCAGGCAGAAAAAGAAGCAAAAACTCGTGCCATTCTTCTGGAAATGGTGAACGTCTTTCTGTTTTTACTTTTAGATGTTACTCCTCCGTGTGTGCATGTTACATTAAGTCTAGGAGAATATGTAGTATTTATGTTGAAATTGTTTATCTGATGATGATGTCTGTGCTATTAAATGTCTGTGGTACAATGAAAAGGATTAAGCATGAGGTTGTTTTCTGATAAAACCAGGTATACTTTGTTTTAAGCCAGGATTAAAAGTGGATCAGTGGAGGCTTTATAAAAACTTGCTAGAAATGCATCCAGTCAAAAAACACACCACACATAATGTGCTGCTAAATACCTATAATGCTGGGAAAGGTTTAGCCTGTGTGGGAGACAGCTGGGCTAATTCATGATAATCTCTTCCCAGTACCTGTAGTGGCATTGAGGTTTTATTATTCATATATGTCATGGCAGTCTTCCTTCTGTGGGATTAGTCGGATTTGACATTGATTAACTTTATGTTCTTCCTTCTTGAGTATGAAGTTTGGTAACTGCTGGTAGTTGTAAACTCTGTATAGTAACAAAAATGGTTTGTTAATGTTAAAGTGCCTGTTGCTGTTTTCCTTTTAAATGTGAACTACCCTGTGTTTCAGTGGAAGTAGTCTTAGTCATTCTTTGAGTTATGTCTGCAAGCATGCATACTGCTGTGGTGTATTTGTTCAAACAGAAGGAATTTGCTAAAAATATATTTGTAATTATTCATAATTTACTCATTTTTTTACTCAGGCTTTGAAGTCTGTTTTTTAAAAAAGAAAAAAGCACACACACTGTTGAAGGATGGGGTGAATCAGCCACGCTTATGTACAACTACCAAATTCAAATTTATGGTGAATGGTTTGCAGCAGAATCTGATACCCAGGTCAATTCAGATGTGGCCACAGTGTTGCAGAAGATCTGCAGGTGTGGCCTCTTGTTTTGCTGCAGCAGCAGTGGGGCTGATGGCCTGTTTTCCACGTAAGGTTAGCTAAAAAAGGGCGAGCGGGGTATGTGAGCCAATGCAGTAACTTTCAGTGAGTATTGCTGGGTAGTATGCAATAGGGGAGCTATGTTCTATCAGCTGAAGAGATGAAAAACTAAGTGTACTGCTAGTTTCACTGATTTGAAAAATCCCAGCTATTAGTTCCACTGTTCTTTTGTCGAAACAGTAAACTTCTCTGAGAGTGTAACATGCTTTTGTGTTCTCTTTTGTGGAATCTGCTTCTCACTCGTGTTATTTTGCTTCTTTCTGCTGTCAAACTAATGTGCATTACCTTTTCCTTAACATATTACATAAAAGATGGAGATAAATTGTTTAAATATCATTAGTCTTTGTTTCAGGTTTTAAAAGAAAGTGCTATAATTCAAAAGGAGGTGGTGTGTATATTTGCATTTTCCTAATTGTAACTTAATTTGCTACCAAGCTGTCTTAAATTTAAACTTACCCTAGCTGTTGCCAGATTTCAAGGAAAGGCAAGTTTATCTTAGGTACAGACAGAGACTAAGGATTGGATCCAGTCCATTTTTATTTTTATAACAGAGTGGGTCTAAAAGTGCACTTCCACTTTTTAGAACTGTGTATTTGTTACGTTATGAACGCGGAAAGCAAGGTGGAAAGTATTTGTGACTTTTTCATGAAGTCCCAGTGGTAGAATTGCAAATAGATAATCGTTCTTAGGTGCTATGGAAAACCCTTTGTTGTGACATCGAGTAGGAAAAAAGATTTTTTTATTTTGTGATAGTACTGTGTCTGGGATCATCCAAAAGATGTGTTGCCAGCGTGCTCATGGCAATAAAATGTAGAGAGCTTTAGGCAGAAGTGATGAATGCCTTTTTCTGTACGTCGCAGGTGGGAGACTTACCAGATGCAGAGGTCAAGCCACCAGAAAACGTGCTGTTTGTTTGTAAACTGAATCCTGTGACCACAGATGAAGACCTAGAGATAATATTTTCACGATTTGGTCCCATCAAAAGGTAATTATTGTAAAATAAAAAAAGAACCACCTTTGTTGAAACTGAACTTGATTCCTGCTAGTCTGTTTAGGTTTGGCTGTTAAGTAGTATTCTGGCTTCTCTGGAGATTTATGCTGTGCCTGCATGTATTTTGATAGAGACCACAACAATGATGATACAAAGTCAGATCTAGCTAGGTGAGTATCCCGTCCCATCAGTGGTTTTAAGTGAAAGCCTAGGGAAGTGTAGGAACAAGGCAAGCATATGATATTCTCCCCAGCACCCTGTCGTCTCCCTCCTTTCAGTTTTTACCTCAGATGCTACATGAGCTAAATACAGTCTCTGGGTTTTTCTTTCCCATGGGAATATGTATGGTTTGGGATAAAGCCACAAACATTTCTGGCATCCGATATACTCCTTGCTAGGGTGTTCCTCATGCCTGCTGCCTTTTTGAGTTTTGAACATGGCTGCTGGTAGTTTCAGCTGATTCCTCCTAGTACTGATATCAAAAGACGTGATGGGCAGTGAAACCTACTTTCCTGCACCTCTCTATCCTACACCCCAAAGTCATCTTTTTTTCTTGCCAAGAGTACTAGCCTACATACTCATGCTTTATAGGGGAATTTTCCTTGCCTTGTTTCCCTTTTCTCAAACTTGTTCTGTTCTTTTGTTTTCATCTCAAGATGAGAGGACCAGAAGTGCACACAGTATTAAAGAAATCGCAGATTTACAGTGGCACAGTGGTATTCTCTGCTTTGCTCTTAGCTCCTTTTCTAGTTAATGCTAAAGCTATTTTTTTTTTACAATGCACAATTAGGATATCCCCA